CGCATTTAGTGCTGAGCAGAGAGAGCAGAAAGAGAGAGAGAAGAGACCAACCCGACGGCTGCCAGCAGGGACCGTGTTGTTGAATTCCATCTGCGTTAGCTAGCTTGCCACTAATGGACATAAGGAGCTGCTTTGTTCCACAAACAAGCTGCGACGTGGAGTTCCTCTTCTTTGTCGATCTGAGGCAGGCTCAGGGGGAGCTTTAAAAAGGACTCTCTCAGGCGTGGCCACCATTACTTTGTCTAAGTTATTCTTAATGTCGGTCTCAAACGGGTTGGCCCAACAAATTATTCAAAAGATTATTCCGCGGCCACACCTTCATATGATCATTATCGCCGAGTATAAAATAAAATAAGAGATAAAGGAAAAACAGGTATTGAAACTAGCCTACTATTATGACAGTAAAACTAGAAATTACAGCTTGAAGGGGAGTGATTTGTAAAATATGCATTAAAAAAAAGTAAAGCTGTTTACAGTTCTGTTTCATCTGGGTGTTGAGAGATGTATCCATAGATCTCTTAAAACCTGTTAAGCCCCAAGGTCCCCGCCGGCGGGGACCCTGGTTTTTTTTTCAGGACACTGTGTCTCAGGGGATCTTAATATTTAAGAACCTATTAATGTGTTATACCAGATTAACGGAAATAATCTCAACTAACTGACGATATAAACCATTTTTACCAAAACAAAACACAAGTCTCATAAGAAGCATCTAAATGACCCCTTAGCGAAAAATGCTAACGGACATTGGCCCAGAACTCAAGATAAAAGTACCCTTATTACTTATCGTAGCTGCACATACAAGATCTCCGATTAAAGCTGAGGTTCCACAGATTATTTAGGTATATAGTATCATCACTGAGTGATCTGAATTTGCGATAGGGGAAGCAAAGAGAGACATCACAACACGTACCTTTACGTAGCTTCTAGTGAGATCGTCTCACCGTAGCTGTTAATCTGATCAAAAGACGTGTTCAATGGCATTAAAACGAGAAAAAACGCGGCTGAATCGGTTAATCCATAGGTTGATAAAGTTCCTGGGCAATAATTGGAATTATTTATAATCCATAATTCCATTTTTATGTAAATATCGCAGAGCAAAGTTAGCTGCTAATGGTAGCCACCAGAGTGGCTGCTGCTTCCGGTCTTGGCTATGCGGCAGTATAATACACACACATGACCAAATAAGGACTATGTGGGAGTTCCCCTCGATTCCATTGGCTCTGACGGTTAGAAAGAGATGTCACATGTCAAAATCCAGCAGGGGGGGCCAGAGATATGAAAAATCCACCCAAATGGCCCAAGAAGAGTTTTTTTTTGCTAAATCTGTCTAAAAATATCAAATATCACTTGTTTTGCATCAATCTTGATACAGGGTACTTATTAGACTGCCAAGGCACACNGAAGAGTTTTTTTTTGCTAAATCTGTCTAAAAATATCAAATATCACTTGTTTTGCATCAATCTTGATACAGGGTACTTATTATATGTTGTACTTTGGATTCCTAAAGCTTTTAGTCTACTAACCCATCATCCAAGGTTAGTTTTCACTATAAATACAAAAAATATCTTTTGGACGGACACTATAATTTACAGTTTTTTACCATGTTCAATCTGAATTTTCTTTAAAATAAAAAACATCTATATTGAATCTGACTCCTCTACATCCAACTGACAGGTTTATCATTACTTTGAGAGAAAAGATTATTAATTTAATCCTTTTAGAAGGGAAGATATGGTCATTTGTTCTGGGAATGTCATTTTCGAGCCTGAAACCTGAAAAACAGGCTCTGGGTTTAACAGGTTAAATCTAACACTTTGGGAATGAGACCTCAGTAAGGACTTCAGCAGATACTTATCAGCGGCGGTTAGTGCAGACAAACACTGTCACCTTCTGCTCAGCTGCCAACTGCTGCCACACACACACACACACACACACACACACACACACACACACACACACACACACACACACACAAACACACACACACACACACACACACAGTTTCCATATAGCTAATAATAAGGTGCGGAAAGTACATAAAATACTTGTATTACTCTAAATACAACTTTGAAGTTATTTACACATACAGTATAACCCATGGCAAAAAGGAAGCACAGATGGGAAAGAAACAGTAAAAATTGAAAAAGACCAAGCTTAACTCAAGTGCTGTATTTATAAAAATAAAAATTAATAACTGTTACATTTTACGATAAAATTAACAACTTACTTTGCATGTTCATGTTAATAATACAATTTATATAGCCTATCAACTTATTAATTGTGATGTGAAATCATAGGGTAAAATAATACTCCACTTTTAACAGCTTCAACATTAAAGTGATTGGCCTTTATTAGAAAGATAGAAGGGAAAGAGCAGCAAGGACTGAGCCACAGTAGTTTGGCACGTTTATTTTTAATACTTTTGTACTTCCCTTTGAATTTGAATGCTTAGAGTAAAAGTTTTTTTTCACTGTGGTTTTACTACTTTTACTTAGCTAATAGATCTGAGTATTTCCACCGCTCCTCTCTCACACTGAACAAAAAAAAAGTGGCTCCACAGGCTACTTAAAATGATGTCATCTTTTTCTGGTGACACAAAATGTCATCATCAGCCCAAATCCAATTACAGCATCAACAGGACTCTCTTTGAAACGATCACACATCCACAATATCATTCTGACATCAGATGTCTCAGTGGGCTTAAGAGCAGAAGAAGTTCAAAAGAAATAATGTGAAAATAAAGCTTTAAAGTGGTTCGGGTTGGATTGAGGCTGATGAAATTCGAAAGTTGTTGCCAGAAATAAAAGATTAATGAGTTTGAAAAAAAATAAAACTCTTTCGTCTTGTTCATTATCTAACGCATCAGTGTTCTGCAGCTCATGTGAAACCCATGTTCGAAGCTGTCTTTCAGCAAACACACACACACCCACACACACACCCACACACACACACACACACACACACACACACACACACACACACACACACCCCCCCACACACCCACACACACACACACACACACACACACACACACACACACACACACACACATTGAGAGTCGTAAGTGTAAAGGAATGAGTGGAGAAATGCATCTTGAACAGATTTATGGGCTGATATCATGTTAGTCCACATCCACGCTTCATGTGTGTTTGGATTGTGTGACCTGTGTTTTATGCAAATATTCAATATCATGAAAATAGTCGGGCAATAATCCTATAATGGGAACCGAGGATTAGTGAAGGATACTGAAATTAAATCCAAGTCAATTTGTTTAAAACATAACTCTGATGCTCTTTTTGTTGATGTTTATAAAATAAATCCTCTAGATTTCATAGAAAATATGTCAGGTTTAAACATAAGGGTTTCAGTAAAATAAGCCCCGAAATGTTAAATGAGCCCCTCACTTCTGGAGAATTCAGTCGACAATAAATGTGTAATGTCAAATTACATTTTTGTCAACAAAGATATTCATTTATTTTTATTTTATTAGATTTTTTAATGATCACCAGTATCAATCTAAATCCAACGACAGCAAACAAATTACCTATCATTTGTTTGCTTATAATAGTTTGGTAATACCTATAATAATAACACTTCTCCAACAACACACATGTGAATGTGACTTATTTTGTAAATCTTACAAAAAATATGTAAACATTTATTATTTTAAAATCAATTGTAAAAAGGTTTGGCTGCCTTATTGCCCTATTTCCTGCCAGAGAAACTCTAAATTACAAAAGAGAAATAAGTTTATTAATTTATTTTATGGATAAATGGTAAAACATTGATTTTGATCAATTACATTTTTGTATTAATACCTGCCGTTTGGTGGGTTGGGGTAAGGTGAATAAAAACGGCAGTGATTTAACAGTGGGTGTAGACTAACTTCTGACCGAAACAAAAACCTGTTCACAGTTAAATATGTCACAACCCATAGCATAGAATGAAATACAAGACTTTTAATGGGAAGAGTTCAATCTTTCAAAGTTTATTGACATGGGGAAAACGTTGGGATAATGTTTAAATACTCTACATAATAAAGTTATTAAAACATGCACATGTAAAATATAATATACTGTACATAAATATTACATTAGGGAAAACAATGTTCTAGCTGGTCTAGTTTCTAATGCAGTGCCGGGGTTCAGGATTTAGTTTGACCCTCTAGCTGAGACAAACCTGACCATTATAGTGCAAGAAAAGGGGAAATTAATGGAATGCTCGACTCATGGCAGGCGCGGGTCTCTTCAGTATGGCCTCCACAGAGAAGGACAAAGACTCACTGGATGCCATCTTGGTCCCCACAGGCTTGGACAGAAAGTCTTTAGCGTACCTGTTGCTGATTTTCACAGCCTGAATGTCTTTGGCGGAGCCCTCCCTGAATTTTCGGGCGGCCTCCTCTAAGAGCTCTTTGCAGTATGGAGCCCTGAGCTCCAGCCCGGCACCGCCGCCGCTTTTCTCACTCAGCGAGTGCTGGATGAGCGAGTGAAAGGAGTTGAGTTTCACAGAAAGCTTAGCGTTGTCCTTGCTCAGCTTGTTCAGGACTTGGCTGGAGTTTTGGGAATGAGAGTTGTTGGGGAAGGACTGTCCGAAGCTCCTATTGGGTGGAGAGAAGGCTGAGCACTCCCTCTGCGTGACACCGGGGGCTTTGGGATCAGCCCGTTGAGGGTCTGCTGAGTCCTGCGCCGCAGCTGCTCGGGATCCTTCCACTTTAGCGGCGAGAGCAGCCGCAGCCTCCTGCTCTGACGGATGGCTCTCGTCAGGCATAACCTTGGGCTCCCACATTGCACCTGGCTTCATGTTCTGCACCGCCGTGGCATTGAAGAGGCACTGCTGGTAGAGCAGGGCATCGCCCAGGTTGGCTGCACCACGGGGCCACATCATGAAGCCCCCTCGCGAGGGCTGCAGCGGGTAGTGGCGATAGGTGGTGGCTACGCTGACGTTGGAGGCGATGAGCTCCACGTTGGCGGAGCCGGCGGGGTACTGCATGGACAGATCCAGGCAGTTAGGGCCCAGGAAGTTGCACAGCTCTTTGGGCTGGGGTTCAACCTGACCTGCGGGCGAGTAAGCTGTCTTGTAGTTGTACTCTGCGGTGTGGTGGGCCATGCTGTTAGGGAAGATGAGCGAGGCTGCCTGGCTGTTCTCCAGCAACTCTCGCTCTTTGTACTCCCGCTCCAGCATGATGGATTCCAGCTCCTTGTCGGCGAAGGCCCTCCTCTTCCTCATGCGATCGCTCAGCGGCGGGGGGAGGGACGGGCCGGCTGGCATGTATGGATCACACTGCACCGGACGGTATCCTGCCATGAAAATAACTCACATTTAATTCAAGCATGTGATTTGTTGGATTAAAGCAGATGCATGCAGGAATGTTCACACTGCCAAAAATGCAAAAAAAAATATTTCAATCTGGTTTGAAGAAAATATAAATCAATAATGAAATCCTATTTGCATGTTGTAGCAGTGCTGGAGATGACTTGAGTGAACTCAAGTGGAAAAACATTATGAAGTCTCTGCTTGCATGTTAACAAGTCCATATCACTCTTTCGGAGTTGTTTGTGGAAAAGAAAAAATCCAAAGACAAGCCACAGGATAAACTGAGGTTTTATCAGGGAAACAGGGACAGAGGATGAGCCAAGAGAAACATAAAAAAGGATCAGGAAGATCTATAACATGATTCTATTTGTCAGATTTGTTGCCTTATTTACCTTCGAGGATGCTTTTGGCGAGCATGGTGGACGGTCGAATGTGTCGCTGATATATCGTCCTCCTCTCTGCTGGAATGTGTTTCCCAGATATTCCTTTCTTATCCTGATAAATAGAGAAAACAAAACATTAAAGACCTGCTGTCAGGATGTTTTCCTTGATCCTTTAAAAAGGCCTGATTTGTCACAGTAAGTCCATGTCCAAATATGGGTCATGTTACTGTTTTCTTGTATTTCTTTCTGAAATAAATGTGTGATATAAAAGCAGGATCACTGTGTGTAACAATTGAACATGAGGAATAGGCCAACCCACAACGTTAATGTTAAATATTATTAAAATGTCAATGAGAAATAAGATAAATCACAGACAGGTTTGACAGTTGTTTTACCTAACGTGATTGCAATATTTTTAAAATCATTATGTGGTTCATTACTTCACGGCAGACATTCTCAAATATCTGAATTTAACTGGCAGGTATAGCAGATGTTGCTTTTAGGAGATCATTAAGGAAGATATGTGGTTTTTTTACAAGTAAAAACTGAAATGTATAATAAATAGCGGGATAGTGAGACATTCAGCTATATCATTTGCTGGGACAACATAACAGTAAGAAGCCCTCCTGAGAAGCCATTTTGAGAACCACTGATTGACACTCTTGTTCATTCGGTCAGCCAAAAAGAAATGGTAGAACACTAAAGAACTACATTCACAGCTGAACCCTTAACCATAAATCTGTTGCACTACACCCCCAAAGTTAAATACCAAAACTAAACCTAAATCTGCTTCCAAAATTGAAAGTTCAAGTTTGGGTGGAAAACAAAACAGTATTATTTTTAAGAGGCTGTTGGTGACGTTGGAGTGGCTGAACAAAGAGAGGAAAACATGTCAGCCATGAATTGCTGTTGTATTACTGTAAATTAAGACATTTAACACTGAACAATAAGGCTTCTGTTGAAAAACCAGAAAGGCCTGTTTTTTCAACACTGTTATGATTATTAATGGTGGCACTGCAGATCAAATAAATAGAAAAGGAAATAAAATATACGTTTGATTGGAATAGGAAGACCAATAAAGTAATATCCAGTAAGAAGATAACTTTAAGCGAATTACCTAGGCTAATTGTTATTAACGTTTAATAATTAAGTCACATGTAAGGTATACATTAGCCTATACATAGGCTAATCAGAGGGACAACCAAACTGTCTTAACATAAACGCATAGATAACTTGTGGATAAATAACAATAATTAAAAAGGGAGTAATTGACCATGACTTGTAAGATCGTGATTTAAAAATGGTTGCTGATTTAAAAAAGGAAAGAGAGGTCTTGGTGAATAAACTTAAAGGCTCCTTATGACGTAAACTAAAGTAGTCAATTAGTCTTTTTAGACGTTTTGTTGTATTGTTAATCCTGTTTGTTATTGGCATAATTCAAGGCCTGTACTTTCAGGAAAGCAGTATTGACGGAGGTGAAATAAAGGGAAATTAATTTTAATGTGGGTCGAATTTAAGACTTTGCTTTTGCTGATTATACACGTTAACGGAGGCAACAGACTTCAAGGTTTCTGCATAATTTTAAAGAACCACATTCCTCCGTGCGACACATATCCATACACTCTCACACTCTCCGGGCCTACCTCCGTTGCTTGCTGCCTCCTCAGGGCCACCTGCGCCGCCATCACCCGCTGCCTCTCCACCACCAGCAGGCAGTTGGCGCATTGGCAGTCCCTCCAGCGGCAGAAGCGCTTGTGTCCCTTCAGGCAGGACACCACGCCATGGTTTCGGCAGCGGGCGCACTTCGGCGTCCGGCTGAGCCTCCTCTGTTCCCCCATGCCGCTGGGGGCCAGCTTGTCGTCGCCCTTCCCGCCCTCTGCTTCGTCCTCTCCGAGCGGCGCCGACCCGGGGCGGCTGCAGGAGTCTGCCTGGTCGTCGCTCTCTGTCTCCAGGCTCTCTACGTCGATTTCAAACTCGCAACCGGCGTTGTCTGACATGACTGCCCGAGTCCTCCGTCGGCTGTGTGTAGGCCTACAGCCAGTTTATGTCTGGAGAGAAATATTAAATATTATCAGACTGTAGGCTATATTATTACGGCTGTTGAAATGGCACTTGAGTAAAATTCACTCAACATCATTATGTGAGGACACTCCCATGTCTCTATAATAACCGATATCATTAGGCCTATACATTCATCTCAAACTTGCATTATTTTAATGATGGTTTAAACTAACTTTTAAATCTTTAGATTTCAATTGTTTTGTCATTTGTAGTGTTACTTTACATCTGAGCTATAAATGTCTTATGTTATCTCAAAAGAAAACTATAAGATTAGAAAAACAATAGCCTAGTGTTTGACTTCTTAATTTGTACAAACGTAGCATAAATAGAAATAAGAAACGAAAAAGTGAACACACGAAACCTTTAACGTTATGCTGTCGATAGGCACAAATAACAGTAGTACGATTACTGCGATTCAGGCTAAGATTATACTGCAGATATTAAACCATAATAAACATTGATTTTCTTCACAAATCTAAGAAAACGGTGAGCATATTTGAATAACTTTTAGCGAAAAACAAGTCACAGCAAGAGACTAACATTAAAATGTAGGCTATCAGACCATTAATAATCTGACTCAAACCACACTTCGGTCATCGCTCCTCTCGGTGTCCAAACACGCAGTCTATGCATGGGTCTAAGTGGTTGGCATTAATATGGTCAAGTCCCTGCATTTAATTGGCCATTTTAGAGTTATGTTATTTTGTAATGGTGCATAAAAAGACAAGAAAGGTGTCTAGTTTACCTGATCAAGTTGATTCAGCGATCTTGTCCCGGGGTTTTCTTCTTTGTATGACGTCGTTAAGCAGCGACGTGATGAATCACACACACTCGCGACTCCACAACAGGCTTGTAATGAGCTGCTAATTGAGTAGTTGTATGAGTGTGTACTCCGAACAGATCCAAATTTCCTCTGAAGCACACACTCATAGCGCCACTCCTATGAAGCGCTTCAGTCTGCCTTTTTTGGCCTCTGATTGGCTGCTTCCGAGCGCGAACCCACCAATAGGATTACGAGCAGTTATTCCCTGCATGCGCTCAATAGTTTCTTTGTCTTTTCTTTTATAGATGAGAAGATCACAATGGAAGTGTACTTTTTCAGTTTACTGCGGGGGAGGACACTGATTTGTTACTTATTTATAGTTTGTGTTGATCAAGTATACCATTAGCTTTATTCTAATTTGCTAGATAAAGTAACCACCACATGGCTATAGTCAAAAATTATTAATCAACAGCATGTATAGAAACATTTAACATCAAATTGAGCATGCGTTCAATAATGTTAAAATAATTAATGGACAAAATTTCACTGCTGGCTGATTTACCCTAAAAATAGGTACATTAGGCCATGTTTTTAACTTGATGGGAAAACAGAATTACGGTGCCCTTTTATTACCAGTTCTTCGTGTATTTCACTTCAATAAAATATATGTATTTATGTATTCATGTTCAGTCGCACTTAATAAAACTCAAAATGGTTGATTATTAGCATCAGATCCAGTGCAACAGCTTATCTGCGGGACACACATAACATCTCTTCTGTATTAAGGTGGTTGCACATTGTATCCTGCTGATCTGTGATGTGTGTAAATATCACTGACACATCAAGCAGCAGAGCAGATCGACAGCTGATAACGTTGTGAGCTGCAGGTTGTTACAGTCTGTCCTCAAGCAACAAGTAGGCTAACTGAGGATAATGATTACAATGTTTTCACAACAATCACACCTGAAGAAGAAAAACACCTTGTCAGCATGCAGAGTCTCACACACAACAAGTCAAACTTTACCTAAAATATACCCACAGGTAAAAACTTCAACTGATCTCAACACTCAATCCCAAATCATAAAACCCCTTTAATTTAACCCGCATCATTTACCGTGTCATTGAATGCAGAACACACTGCATCCATAACATTTTAATATAAATCCAATGAAAAATGTCGACATTAAAATAATAAAAGCACAAAACGTTAAAATCAACCAACGTTTAAAAGTTTATTTTGTACACGTTCTTCGCCTGAATTAACGGAATTTGTTGTTTTCTGTCGTCTTAATACTGTTTTTAAAGGTTAAAATAAAATTTGACATTGTGTTATTTTTTTGTCGTATTCAGGTTATTGTAGCTTGCCTCTTTTTTGCGTGTCTGGGTGTGACTCCTAAATCTGAAAGAGGAATGTGAACAACTTATGTTTGCCTTTTTGTTTGCAGTTTGCTGACTGAAAGCCTGACTCAAAAACAAAAAAGAGACATCGCAGCATTTACTCAGTACCAACTGACTCTGACAACAGAACAATACATCCAGCTACTGTAGCGTGGGACCTAATGTTGACCTTTTGTTCAGCCACTTGTGAAACTAACGAACAAAGCGAGCCTTAAAGGAAAATAGAGTTTAAAAGAGTAGTTCTCCATTTGGTCCTGTTTGAATAGTACTAACTTGGCACAAAATAAATTTTAGTAAAAAGATAAATGAATCATAATTGTTAGTTTTATTTATGGATGAATCATTTATATCTTACAATTTGTTGAATATAGATTTTTATCGCAAAAAAACGAAATTCGTTCGAACATTATTAAAGACACGTGATAAATTGTAAAAACATTTTTTTACTTTAATCTTGTGTTGCTTTTTTGTTATTTGATGGCCTATCTCTATATTGACTTTATAAATAATTCTAAGACTATACGTTTTAGTTACCCAAGGATTTGCATGTGTTGTAAATGTCATACAAAGAAAACTTGACATAGTTAATATACAGTAATTAAAATAAGAATGTTACAGTCTTAGGAAAAACGTAATTTTGGACTAATACACTAGGAAACATAGTGCTTTTGTCTTAGTTTTTATCACATCTTTGTCCAGATGAGGACAGTGCCTCTTGATGGTTCCTCCATGTGTTGGGGGTGAAGACGTCAGGCCTGCAGGTGCAGCTTTATTTGCCACTTCGTCTTAATTTATTGTGGAGGTTACGAGCGGCCACCCCGGGCAGCAGCTTCCACATCAGGAATGCTTTGATGCTGAGAGCCGGCTGACTCTGGGACAGGAGGATCCACGGAGCTGCAGGAACCTCCAGCCGAAATGTGTTGTCTGTGTCCGCTGGATCATTATGGCCGTGTGGGGCCAGGGGCCCTTGATTGGGTTTCCAGGAACCGTTTTGGATCTTCTATTGTCCCTTGAAGGTTTCCCAGGGGGGCATGTCAGAGTGTATTGGGGAATTTTAGAAGAGGCCCAAGGGGATGTTAAGGTGGTTATGAATATTTAAGGTGGTTCATATGTATTCATTATATCCTGGAATCCTTTAAGAAGCTCCCCTTCAAAAACATATTGGAATGTATTCAAGGATGCCTTCAAACTCCTGAGAGATCCCCATACCCCTGGAAAGGCCTGAACATGGTGCAATAAAGCCAGGAACCTTGGACATTGGAAGCAAAAGATACCTCTGCATCCTGGAAATCCCTGAGAATTCACTAGTTTCAGTGTGTTTTTTGGAACAAAGTGTCTGTTAAAAGGTCTGTCAGTCGTTGAGAAACGTCAAGTTATCCTTCAAGGGTTACAGGCATTATAATTACTTTTTCATAGCAGGTGTTTTAGATCTTTTGGATTTGTGCAGGGTCCCTGAAGGAGAGGCATGGATCTTCTAAGGAGTTCTGAGGTCCCTAAAGGGGTTCCAGGCCTTACTGTGTCAGGGTTCTCTGTTGGGCCCTCAATGATTTCCATGGATCCTTGAATGGATTATGCATTATTGACATTCATGAAATATTGAGGACATTTCAGGAGTCTCTGACAGGACCCATGATGATCCTCCTGGAAAGGATTCTGTCAATAGTAACGGTGTTTGCAGGTGGCCTGGACATTTCTTCACAGGACATTTTTTACAGGCCAATAAATAATTGGATTAGGGAATTAAGGAAATATGCTTAATTATTGCTTTGAAATAAAAATAAATAATTGGATTAGGGAATTAATGAAATATGCTTAATTATTGCTTTGAAATCAAATGTATTATTATTATTATTATTATTATTATTATTATTATTATTATGCAGGAATAATGAATAATCATATTTATCCAAAAGGAAAAATTGATCATTACTTGTATTGATGTACAAAATAATTTTAAACAAGCTCCACCTCATCCTGTTTCAACACTGAGACCTTATGGGATCCTGGGGGCTTAAGTATTGTTGAGAAGGTTTCTGTTGTCTGTGAGGGACTTCCAGTTCGCTTGGAAAGTCTGTGGATCCTTAAAGGGATTCCAGACATTTTTAAAGAGTTCCAGGGGTCTTTGATGCTCTCCGGGGATCCTTGAGGAGTTGCAGGGAATCTTTAAGGGCTTCCAGGTTTCAACCAAAGAGTCTAAGGGAACTTCCAGTATAGGTTTGGGAATCATGGAAGTGTTTTATTAATCCTTGAATACTTTTCAAGGATTCCAACTACTACAGAAGAAATGTCAGGTTGTTGTTGTTTACACAAGTGTCCGGGGTTATTCTCCGGGGATCCTTCAAGGGCCTCCAGACCTTTGCAGTGCGGACCTTTGGAAACACCATCTCAAATCTGCTTGTTTGAATCATTCAATAAAAGTTTTAACATTTCAAGAATATCTAGTGATTTTTTTTTTTTTTTATATCCACCATATTAGCCACTATAATTTTCTTGTTATGATACTTTAAATGAACTTTGAGTTGTTTGTTCAGTAGGCCTTTGTATTTCTAGAACAATGGCATATCTATCCTAAGATGTAGATATCTTAACGTTTATTTTGGGTATGGTCTCCGGACATTACTCAGTACACATGCGTTAAATGACCTTTTTAATGGTTTCGACCTGGAGAAAGACACACACTCGTAATGACACTTTCTCACACGCTGTCCAGTTTACTTTTGGGGTTGAGTGAAACAACAGCATCTTGTTGGAAGCGCCCCACTGTGCAGGTCGTAAAGCGAAACAGGAGCTGTGTATAGACAGAAGAGCAGAGTGGGATCACTGGGGATCCTGTTATGTTAATTAGCCTCTGAAGAACCGACAACACATGCTGCTGAATACAAAACCAGGCGGGACCACATTTGTCTCTGTCTGACACCTCGACCTCTCCTGGGTAATGTGCAACAAACAGGGGGACCTGTCCCTCAGCTGTGGACAGCAGTGGAAGAGGATTAACTAATATCACACTGTGAAAATACTCTGTAGCAAGTCAAAGTCCTGCACTGTATACACAAATATGTATGTACAAACTAGAACATGTAAAGGCTGGACGTGTTCTGGCGCCGGGGAGCAGTAGTTACTGTAGTAGTAGTAGTACGTTTGGTGCCTTGCTCAAGGACAAGGCTCCGATTGGGACTTGAACCGACGACCCTTCGGTTTCCAAGCCAAGTGGGTACAGACTGAGCTACTGCCGCCCCCAAGTTATAGTAAAATGTGTAATTAAAGTCCTTTAGGAACACAGGGTCTCAGGCACAGGAACGAGGCAGGGACGTCCTCCACAGCACAGGGACCCTCTGAAGACCCAGGCCCATTGTGAAGACATGTTCTCACTGCAATCCTTTTCGGTCCAAACAGTCCATCCATCAAAGGAAACTTTGGAGTATGAAATTGGATTATAATTACTCATGCATTCATGTAAAAACAGGATTTTGCTGTATAGTTGATTGAGGTGGAGCTGAGTTTAAACCATTTTGTATCAAAGAAATGCTTGTTTTCTCCAATATTGATTGATTGTTTGGTTTTAAACAGATATGAGACTGATGAGAACTGCTATGTAAGCAAAATATATTGGCCTTAAACTTGTTTGAATTAATGAAAACATTAAACACGTTTTAATAGTTACAGGAAGGAGCAGCAATTCCTCACATTGGTGAATCTGAAAGTGCACTGTTGGCAAAT